GCAGGTTCCTCAGCCCACAAGGAGCGTTGTGACCCTGCCCCGGCTGGAAATGTCACCTCCCACAGCTCAGACATTCCGAGGGATGAATGCGGCTGGGATGGAAGCGCTGCTGGAAATGCCCACTCGAGGTCAAAAACCCACTGGGAGTTTGCAGGGATGTTCAAACCCAAATTTGCAATCACAGAACTGCTGGGATTTGCAGCTGCCATCACAAAATGGCCAAAATTCGGGGTTTGGGGTCACCAGAGTGCTGCAGATTCACAGCTGGAACATATAAAACCCCATAAAACCTCTGTAAATGTGTGTTTGGCATCATGAAATCATCACAGATTTCTGGTTGCAACTGCAGAACTTCTGCAGATTTGTAGCTGTGATCCTCAAACTGCTGCAAATCCATGCTTGAGATCACAAAAACACTGCAGATTTACAGCTGCAGCCATAAAACAACCACAAATTCACATTTATGATCCCATAACCTCTGCAAATTCATGTTTGTGATCATGAAACCACTGCACATTTATGGTTGCAATCATTACACTGCTACAAATTTGCATTTTGATCCCAAAACTGCTGTAAATTCCTGTTTGTGATCCAAAAACTGCTGCAATTTTCCAGTTACAATCCCCAAAACTGATGCACATTTACAGCTGCAACCACAAAATTGAGAAAAGTTTGTGGTTGTGATCCCAAACCCACTGCAAATTTCTAGTTACAATCCCAAACCCACTGCAAATTCAGCAATGATCCCAAAACTGCCATAAATTCATGTTTGTGATCCCAAAATGCCACAAATTCCTGTCTGTGATCCCAAAACCGCCATAAATTCCTGTCCGTGATCCCAAACTGCTGTAAATTCACATTTGATTCCAAAACCGCTGCAGATTTACACTTAAAATCACAAAAAATTGCTTCAGATTTGTAACTGCAATCACAAAACTCCCACAAAATTTGCATTTCTGGCACCAAAGCCTGCTCAAATTCATGTTTGTGATCCCAAAACTACTGCAGATTCCCAGATACAACCACAAAACCAATGCAGATTTGTAGTTGCAACCACAAAAACCACTAAAAACTTGTGTTTGTGATCCCAAACCCACTGCAGATTTTGCTACAATCCCAAACCCGCTGCAGATTTCACAGCTGAGATCCCGAAACCACTGTGAATTCACATTTGAGATCCCAAACCGCTGTGAATTCCAATCTGAGATCCCAAACGCGTTGTGAATTCGAACCTGAGATCCCCAAATCGCYGTAAATTCGAATTTGCGGCGCCAAACCCTCTGTGAATTCGAATTTGCGATCTCAAGCCACTGCCCTTTTCCACCCACGCCCACAAAGCCGCCCCCGATTCTCCGCTAAAGAATCGCCGCCCCGATCCGCGATTTTTCCAACCCCACCCGCCGCGCCCTCCCAACGCCGCTGCCCAAGTGCCACCCCCGATGCCATTCCCGATCCCGATGCCATCCCCGATCCCGATGCCATTCCCGATCCCGATGCCATCCCCGATCCCGATCCCAGGGTCCCCGCTATGGGGGGCCCGCGGGGACCCCACCTCCGCCCCGGGCTCCGCGCCGCTCCCGGAGAGTCCCCCGAGCCCCAGGCACCCCCTGGCCGCCGCCTCCGTGTCCCCAAACCCCTTGTCCCGGGATTCGGGGCGGTTCGAGCTCGGTGCCCGCGGGCGGGAAGCGGATGCGGGATCGGGATTCGCCCGAAATCCGCGTCCCCTCCCCGCGTGACGGCGGGAGCGGGGACCCTCCTCTTCCTGGAGGTCCCGGCGCCTCCGACAGCGGCACCGGCCCGTCCTCTCCCCCGGAATCGCTCGGCGTTCCCCGGCTGAGCACAAAAACCCAGCCCGCGGCTCCCGGCGAGCGCAGAACAAGGAAAAGGAAGGAAAACACGAAGCGATGCCGGCCCCCGGCGGTGCCCGGGAGTGGGGGAAGTACTCGCCCCGCGGCGGCCGCGGGATGGAGCCGCTTTCCGGGGGGAACAGACTCGGTGGAGAGAGGCCCTGCCTTAAGCTCGTTAAGCTCATTAACGCCCCGCACTTCGCTCCGGCAGGAAAAGCTCCGGGGTGGAGCGAGCCGAGGTTGCCGAGGTTGCCGAGGGGTGAAGCGGCTTTAACGCCCCCCGTGCTGGGAGATGGCCCGCGGACCCCGGATCACCGCCCCGCCGGAGCTTTAATTAACCCCTGGCTAATTAACACCTGTCTGCCCCCACCCTGCTGGGGAAAAGCGCAGMTAAATCCCCAATCCAGGCTCAAAGCCTCCCCCAGCGGGGGCTGGAGGCATCCTCGATCCTGCAAGCAGGGCTGCATCCACCCCAAGCCACGCTCCGGGAACCGGGGCTGCTCCCGGCTACTCTCCCCTCATCCCCCGGCAGTGAAAGTGCCCTTTCTCCCCAAAGACCCGGAGATTACCCGGACAGGGAGCAGGCAGATGGGATTGAGGATTTACAGCGTCTTGGATCCCTCTACCCAGGCGGCGGCTGCCTCCAATTCCACCACCCCCGAGCTTCTGTGTCCCAAAAAAGCTCCTTTTCCCCCCATTTCTTCTCTTACCTTCCCCTTCCAGCTTCTTCCCAACAGAAAGCACTGCTAAGCAACAGGTTCTGTTGTGCTCCGTGTCCAATCCYATTCCCTCGGCACCAGCAGGAATGGGAATCACAAAAGCTCATCCCGGCTGCTCTGAGCCCGCCCAGGGGAGGAAAAAAATTCCAATCTGGCATCAAAACCATTTTATTGTTCACTTGGAAGCGTTACATTCTCACCTGGATTTGCTGCCAGGCCCACRGAAAAGCTCTGAAAGCAAAATGCCCGTCATTCAGTTGGAGATGGGAGAATCCAAGGGCTTGGACAAAAACAAAAGTGGAGTTTCATACTCAGAAAAGCCTCAGTATAAATAGGTAAGAAAATATTTATTTGTTTCAAGAGGAATCACAACCCCTGCTCTGTCCAGGAGCCCGACTCCGTTCTGTCCTTAATAAAATATCCATGGAGAGGAGTAAAAAATCGTGTCTTCAAAATAGAGGAGCAGTAAAACAAACTTCCCAGAGTAAGAAAWGAGGAATTTCAGCATGGAAATGCTGGGATCAGGCTCCCCACACCCTGGKTAAGTGCTCAGAAGAAAATCCAGGCGATGCTTGGCATCCTGGCAGGGAAAGGCTGGTGTGGATTTGGGAGGTGGGATGTCTCCAGGAGAATGCTGTGTCGATCCAAAAGAAGGAGAAGGCAGAGAAACCTCTGAGGAGACCCCAAGCTCCTGCTCAGCCTCTCCTCATCAGGGAGAGGTTTTGGACCTGATGGTTCTTCCCCAAAGAGAGGCCCCCCGAGGTCTCTCACGACCCAGGAACAGCCCCAGGGTGTGGCAGGCACAGGCTGTGGAGTGTTCTAAGGCACATGGCTGTTTCCTCCCAGCTCTTATTCCAGCATTTCGGTGCTGGGCAGGGTTTGAAGGCAGGAGTGAGGTGTTCTGAAGCTGCTTCTTTGGCCCCAAAGGAATTGCAAGGATCSAGCAGCCACAGGGGCTGGGCTCAGAACTGAACCCAGCCAGTATTGCCCTGAGTCTGGTTAGGAGCCGACCTGGAGAGAGGGAAAAAGATGGAAAAGGGGGTTCAGACATGGAAAGGGCATCCAGGGAGGGAGCTGGGCAGCTAATGGGTCATCCAGGACCACCCCAAAACTCTGCTGGAGCAGCAGAGCAAGAAGCGCCCACGGACCTGAACTCAGGGATTGGCACCACAGTGTCTTGGGTTGATTTTGTTCCAATCCTCTATTCCTATATTCTGTCAGCTTGCATGCCCAAAGGGTGCCTGTGCCTTTCAATCTGACCCAGAAGAAGGGGCAGGGGTGGTGCAGGCAGTTTAAAAGCCTGCTGTTTAAAAGCTGCTGTTTAAAAGCTGCAGTTTAAAAGCCGGGCTGCTGCACAGCCCTGCGGGAGTCTCTGCTCCTGGTGCAGCAGAGTTATACTGCTGCAGTCTAGCTAGCTCGTGTTTGTTAGCTTGGGCAAACAGCTCTCCCTGGACTGCTACTCCTTTCTGTGACTCCTGTGATTTTCTGCAGCAATTCAGCGGCCGGTGGGGACAAGCGGCACTGCTCCATCTCGTCCTGGACTCTGAAAGAAGCCAAGCCGGCGACAGAAAAGCACACCAAGCCCTCTGTTTCATCCACAGTGAGGAAAGGATTATAATCAAGTTTTTTCACTGTTGCCAGAGTGGTCAGGTAGACTTTTTTTTTTTTTTTCCATTTGTTTCTTTTTTCCCCGGCGACAGGAGCTGCCATCTTTTCTCCACACCAGGTGGTGGAGCAGTTATGGGGGGAGGGGGCAGTGTGTGTTCCTGAGTTTTAAATTTCTAACAGGTACTTTTTATCTGTGTCCTGTGGGCACTCTGTTTTGTTAATAAACTACTTTTTTTTCTCTTCACTTTTGCCTGAACATCTATTTCATATTGGTGGGAAAAAATTAGCAAATTTTTCACTTCAGAGGAAACATTTACTCTGTAACATTTTTCTCTGAAAACATTGTCTCAAACAGAGACACACAGAGACAGAGCCACCCCTGAATCCCAAAGCTGGGACTGGCTGGAGCAGTGTCCTCACCCCAGCGGGGCTTTCCAGCAAAGCCAGTCGGACTTCAGACCCCCACATCCCCCCCAGGTCCCTCTGCTACTCACCCTGAAGCTTTGGCAAAGTCTCCCCAGACATCGGCGGTGGGAGCAGCGGAGGACTGAGGCCAGAACAACGGCGAGTCTGCCATAAAATCAGGAAGGGAGAGAACACAACAATTGGAGTCATTTCCCACCCTCATTCCCACATTGCTCTGTCCCTGCCTTGATGGATGAACCCTAGGGAGCTCTCCCATGAGCACAGACCCGTGATGGGCGTTCCCGGGAGCTGGGTGGATGTGGACAGCAGAGCCGGCCGCTCTCTGGAGCCTGATTTTCCTCCGGGGGGTGGTGGCAGCAAGCTCAGGCCCCCAGGCCCTGCAGGACGGGGCCTGCTGCTCCCTGAAGCTCCTTCTTTCTTCTTCATGTTCTGAAAGGAGAGCGGGTAGTTCAGATGGGATCGCGTTTAAATCAAGTGGGAGGATGAACCCTGACAGCCAAATTGTTTTATTTTGGGAATAAAACCCAAATATCCCACTGCTGGTGGGGACACACCGAGGGCGGTTTTAYCCCCAAATCCCACAGGCCTGATTTGGGAAGCAGGAATTGCACCACAGCCCCTACAAAACCCTGCAAGCAGAGCTGCCTGCTCTGCCCTGCGCTCGTGCCCAGGGATTTCTGGGAGGAGMCGCTTCCTTGTGCCCCCAGAGAAAAAGCTGGAATCTGCTGGGAAGGCCCTCACAGCGATGTTGAGTTTGATGGTTTGTCCCTCCTTGAAGCCCAGATCCAGTTTGCGTCCCTGCTCCGGGTCCTGGGCCTGCCGGGCCAGCTCGCTCTGCTGCCTCACCCACCTTCAGGAATTAAAGCCACAGAGGAGACGTCAGCACCCGCCCCCGGCTGTCCCGGACAAATCCTGCTCAGATCATCCCCGGGCCTGGCAGCCGTTCTGCAAAGGCTACGGCTGTGACCCCAGCCCTC